GAACTTAATAACCTTGATGTCTATTAAGCAGATCTTCCTTATCGCAGTGCTGGGCTTCACCCAGTGTGTGCCCCGTGAAGGGCTAAAGGTACAGCTTATATACAGTTTAGATATACAGATTCACACAGTTTCTGAGAACTCATTAACATATGTTGCCACCCACTCCCGCATGCACAATACAGGCTTTCAAGGGTCTCTGGTGGTTCTTTTACTTCATCATGATGGTCTTCATCGGGGTGTCCTTTTGATGGGCTCCATTCAGTTAACTCCTTGTCTTTTTAAGAGACCCCAAGGCTGGCCTGGGCTGGTTCCACATATCTTAATGGCATTTGGTAGTCCTGGGGCATTCTGTCTTTGGAGATAAGAGCATCCTGTCCTTGCGGATAAGCTCCCCTTGTAGAATACCTTTCTCTCACACTCTGTTCTCCCACTGATTCTGCTTGCTCAAGCATATTAAAAAAGTCTCCTACATACCAGCTAAAACTGCAGTTCTGGCTATAACTATTGATGCCGTGAAAAGGCCGAAATCAGAACTTGATAGCCTTGATGTCTATTCAGCAGGTATTCTTTATTGCAGCGCTGGGCACACCAGGGATAGCTCCACCTGGTGTGTGCCCCGAGAAAGGCCAGATGTACAGCTTTTATACAGTTTAGATATACATATTCGTGCCATTTCCGAGAACTCATTAACATGTTGCCACCCACTCCTGCATGCATTATACAGTCTTTCGGTGGTCGTTAGGGTCTCTAGTGGTCGTTTTACTTCATCCTGGTAGTCTTCATCGGGCTGTCCTGTTGATGGGCTCCATTCCGTTAACTCCTTGTCTTTGTTAAGAGACTCCAGTGCTGGCCTAGGCTGGTTCTGCATATCTTAATGGCCCTTGGGAGTCCTGAGGTGTTCCATCTTTGAAGATAAGAGCGTCCTGCCCTTGGGGATAAGCTCTGCTTGTGGAATGCCTGTTTCACACCGCCATTGTCCCACTAATTCTGTTTGGTAAGAGCACCCTGAGTCTTTTACATACCAGCTAAAACTACAGTTCTGGCTATAACTAAGGCTCCAGCTAAAACTGCGGCTTCACTGTCTTTATGGTTTTAAGAGGTTTTGGGGTTGAAATGGCAGCACCTCACCTCGGGCTGTGCTTTTGTATCACGCTGACTTGCGGAGCTGCGCTGAAGACAGAAGGGACTGGGCTCCATTTCCAGTGCTTTCTTGTTCTCATAGCAACAGAGGATGGAGACAGATGGGGGAGGGTTTGGATGTTTGGCTTTTCGTTGTTTCCCTCCCCACAAGTCAACTCCCTTTCAGATGTTAAGCAATAGGATGTATTTTGTTTCAGTCTGATTACTCAAGAGTATAAACACAGCAGTAGATTGCTTTTGCTGCTGTATCATAAAAGGAAGGGGGAAAGATTTATTTGTATGAAACTTTTTCTTTGCTTCTCCATTGAGATTTTGATAATGAGAACTATTTTTTTTTGTGACTTTTTTTTTTAAGGTGCTGGGAATCCAAATTGCAAACTTGCGATTGTAATGGGCAAAACCAAAAACTCCTCGACATCCAGGTAAGGATTCCTGGGAGGTTCCAAGAGGTACTGAAAATGCATTGCCTGGAGTTTTTGCTGCTAGCAAAAACTTTGCTAGGTGAAATCGATTAATTGCCTGGATGGATTTGAAATGCTGATGAATTACAGGGAGTTTTAAACCTGTGAGTGTGTCTGCTGACCGAGCTCCTGTGTTGCCAGATTGCACTCGGGCCTTTGTGCTGCCACGGGGTGAACTGGACCAGGGAAGTTTGAGGGATTCCCTGACTTTATCTTGGTCGCTCTGGCTTTAGTCTGCAGCAGTTGTTCAACCAACAACTTGTCTTTGACTTATAGTTTATTTCATAATTATAATATATAAAAAAATTAAGCAAAATTAAGTTGTCTTTTACAAACACACAAGCAATGAATAAAATGCTTTCTGGCTGATACTACTAAAATTGCACAGCTTGCTTTTAATACAAAAGAATTGGAACATTTACATCTCCAAGTTGGATTTTAGCCCAAGCTCGGTGATTATCTGAAATTTTTTAGGTTTGGCTCGATTCCCTTGAAGTAAACTGTAACATGCTTAGAGCGCACGGAAGGGTTTATCTGGCAGCTGTATGGGCAGGGCTGCCTGAGCACTTGGATGTTAAACACAAGAGGTTCATGGAGAGGATTCTGGGACCTGGCACTTGCTGGATCAGGAGACTGAATTCAGGGACCTGGGCAATTGTCTCCAAGTCTGTGTGACTAACAACTGACCTTAAATCTGTCAGTGTGAGTAAATCTCAGCACTGGCCTTATGCAAGTGTTAAATTGAGGACAGAAGATAAAAGTGGAGGGAAAGGACAGAAGTGGGGCTCCAAGTTAGTTGTAACTTGTGCATTTTGTCTTGAGCAGGTACAAGCAGCACAGCATGGTTATTGTTCCCATGGACACTCCAGGGCTGGAGCTGATAAGACCCCTCTCAGTATTTGGCTACCTGGGTAGGTGGTGACATCTGTCAGCTGTATGGGGGCTCATTTGTCAGCAGCCTCAGAAGCTGCAGTAATGCTAATAAATACTGTATATGGAATCAGTAAAATGCATCTACAGAAAAAGGATTAGCAACTGAAGGCCTGTAATTTTATCCTCCTTTATTTTACCGGGCTATTGTGTTTTCTCTGTCCCTGTAGATGAGCTCCATGGAGGACACTTTGAGATACACTTCAACAATGTGCGAGTACCTGTCTCCAATATAATACTGGGTGAGTTTCAGTATTTGTTCTTTTCTGATACATGTGAGAGGGAGCCCACTGTGCCCGCAGCTTGGCTGTCTCTTGTGCAGAGCAGGAAGGCGATGGGAGGGAGGGGGGCAGCTATAGCTGTAGTGCAAAAATCACTTCCCTGGAGTAGAGCAAAGCAGGAACTGTCAGTGGTGTTCTGTCCCCAAAGGCTTTACAGATGTTTAAAGAGAGGGTTCTGCTGTAGCCCAAGGCTCTACAGAAAGAATGAGCATGCCAGCACCGTGACCTTCTGCAGGGAGAACTTTGCTCTGCTCCTCTCAGTTGCTCTGAAGCCTGATTTTGGTTTGATTTTGCTGGAAGAACTTTCTCTCTTGACAAACTCTAGGACTTGGAAACATCAAAGTCTTCCTCCAGATTCTTGTACCAAACCTGTAGATGTATTCTTCAACGTAAGATTAATAAGATTTAAATCAAATTGAGATGGTTTCTGAGAGGGCTTGATTTACCTAGAGCATGCTAGAGCATGTCGATAAAGAGTGGGACTAAACAAGCACCGTTTCTGCAAAATAAACATCTCGACAGCTTCGAGCTCTGGTGCTGAGTCCGTGCTGCTCATGTGTCTGTTTTTCTTTCTGACCAGGCGAGGGCCGGGGGTTTGAGATCGCTCAGGGTCGGCTCGGGCCCGGCCGTATCCATCACTGCATGAGGTGCCTCGGGGTGGCTGAAACCGCTTTGCAGATCCTGTGCCAGCGGGCGGCACAGAGAGAGACTTTCGGGAAGAAGCTGTATCACCACGTAAGCACGGTCCCTCTTTGTGTCAGTTCCCGTACTCCGGGCATCACCCTGGGTCGTGCCGACACAGAACCTTGTGGCTCTGCAGTGGCCCCATGACGGACGTGCCCCAACCTGAGTTGCTGTTTGTGGCACCTTGGATCCTGAGGGGAAAATCATGGTGCAAGGCTGAAAGTTTTCACTGGAACCTATGGGATTTGGTTTTTACCTTGCGATGAATTGGATGTCTCTTGCTGGATTTGAATGCAGGTTTGGTCACCATGTTTTCACCGATCAGTTTGGACAGGGGTTTTCCCAAGCACACAGCTTCTGTTTCTGTAGTTACAATTGGAATTCAGCATTTTGGTGTGTTGAATTTGTTACCTAGACATCTCTGTTCATGACTGCTGGAGATACTCAAGGGGCTGAATTTGACCAAAAAAATTAACTTCCCATATCAGTTATTTGTACACATTTAGAAAAGTACAGACCAAACCAAGGCGATATTAGGATTTTGGTCTTGTCTTGCTCTGATATTGAAATACTGATACGTGGAAAAGCATAATAATAAGATCATAGTCTGCTTTATAGGAACCGTCAGCATTTAATAGTTGGCCTATCCCATTACGAGTGCTCTGCAGCATCACACAACACAGGATCATTTTTTTGAAAAAGATCAAGTAAAGGCAACAGAGGAAGCTGAGCTAATGTCTGGCACATGTGATGGAAAATGATTTGTACTGATGCTGAAGGGATCATGTTACATCACTGTTTTCCAGTCATCTTGTTGTCAAACTTCCGTTAATGTGCATGACCTGGAATTAGTGGGAGTTGGATGAGGTGTGTTCTCAGAAGCTCTAATGAGAGTGAACCTGATGTTAGATGAAGCCATGGGCAAGCTGCTGGCACTGCCCAGGAAACAGGAGCTTACCAGAATCTGGAGGTTTTCCAAAGAACTGCTGTGTGGCTAGTATTGCTGTCAATCAAGTATTATCTGCCTTTCTTCACCCCCTCGCATGAGATGACACGTGTCAAACTGACTTTAATTGGCCCAGGAGTGTCTCTAGGGGGCTGAATGAACCCAACTTGATGACTGACTGTGCCTGTTGCTTTGGTTTCTGCAGGAAGTTGTTGCCCACTGGATCGCCGAGTGCCGCCTCAGCATCGAACAGGCTCGGCTGCTCACGCTGAAAGCAGCCAGCATCATCGACAGGTTGGGCAACAGAAAAGCAAGAAAAGAGGTAGACTTTTTTCTTTTTTCCTGGCAGCTGTAGGCTAGAATGTGGGGGGTACGCTACCTGCATGTTTAACTGGGTGAACTAAAACATTTTGCTAAAAATTATCTTTCTAGTAGTAGAGCCCAAGTCAGTGTGAGATGTTGTCTTGGTTTAGAAGACAGAGGAAAGCCTCCCTTGAAAATGGGAACTGTAAACCCCTCCCCCAACACGCACACACCTCCGAACTGCTGTACCTTTGAAATTATGGGGCTTTCAGACAAGATAGGGGGATAGGAATACCAGTTCTTTACTGAGAGATTGCAAACTACAAGGGTAATGATACAGAGGGGAAAAAAAAACAACAAGAAACAAATAATCCCAGACCCCGATAGAGTCAGAATACCTGACTTGGGAAACACACAAAAAAAAAAAGTCCAGATAGATCCAGATTAGAGTCCCGCTGGAGTGGCAGATGCTGTTCCGGGTGATTCGGTAGAGGAGTCCGGTGGCGATGGTGCTAAAGTCCACTCCTCCGGCCAAGGCGAGGAAAAGCGGCGGCTGCCACGACGGCCGGTGGAGGGCCGGTCCG